AAGTCCTGCGAGAAATAAATGGTCGTTTATAACATAACACAAGCTCAGAGGTTGAAATTTACATTAATTTATTGAGTTAATTTTATAAAGGTAGAGAAATAGTTGAGGGCAGATTATATCATTACGAAGTAATTGCGGTTGTAGCTACAGAGAAAAAAAAAAAAAAAAAAAATATATATATATATATATATATATATATATATATATATTCGTTTCGACCTTTATTAGGAATGAGGAAGGACAAGATAACAAAAAAACTAAGGCGAGATTAATAATATAAAATATAAATTATATATAGTAACTCATTATAAAAAAGATAAAATACTAAACATTTCCTTCGCTTATTGTATGCAATCTGATTTATATTTTTTGAGATATTTTAACCCATATCTTCCATAAAACTTATAATTTGGTTTTTGACACAATTTTTCCCTTTTCACAGCTTTGAGTTAAGATAAAATTTTAAATAATAGCCCATTAAAAAAAAGATGAAATGCTGAACATTTCTATCTGTTATGTTCAATTAAACTCGTTTGGTTTTCCCCACTATTTTTCCTTTTTGCCTCCTTAACACTGCGACGAGTTAAGATACAATTTTAAATTTATATCCTATTAAAGAGAGGATGAAATGCTGAACAATTTCCTCGCTTATAGTATGCATGTCCGATTATTAGTTTCTCAGATATTTTAATCCATATGTAAAAACATTTTAATTAGTCGACTATAGCCGACTTCACCCGAGCGTTAATATTTCGAAAATGTGATGGATAAATCTAATTGACCCTTCAAAAAAAAGTTTGAAACGCACCTGAAGACGCTTTCACTTCAAAAAATTAGAAACCTAATATTAAAATAAATCAAAACAAAATATATATATATTGTTTGCTAACAAAGAAATACTATTTATTTATTATTTTAATTGGAACTATCTGTTGTATTGTAAAAGTGCAATAGGGCTGAAATAGATCAAAAACAAAACGTCTCCTGGGAAATTATAGGTAGATATTTGAAAGCTGATATCTGCAAAATTTAAGAAAAATCATCAAACCGCAAAGTTATTAAAATTAAAAATTTATTACTGTCTAGAGAAGTTTCATAAAGAATTACTTTTTATTTTAAATTAAATAAATATTTTTTAGTATTTTATTAGTAGTAGTGGGTGTACCCAACTTATTGAAACTTTATTGCCGAAACCCGCTGGTTTCAGAAATGATGGATAGAGAAAAAACTTAATTTTTTTTTTTTATTTATTTCATTGAATAGGATTTTGTTCTGTATAAAGATCAATGATAATATTGATGAAAGAGCACATTCACACCATGTTTACACAAAATATAAATAAATATAATGGAAAATAGCAAAATAAATCGAAGTAGGAACATTAAATAGTCTATAATCATATATATATTAGTAGTATATCTGAAGAAATCTATAATATTTAGGTTTTGAAATCGACTATTCAAGTAAGTGATTATTTGGTTATATATGTTTTTATTTTTCTTGTATTTTGTGACTTTCTAGCAGTGCTATACTTTTACAGGAATCCATCAAGTCATTCCTAAACTCAGCATACACAGCTGTTCATCACTGCTGAAAGAAATCCATCGATGCAATGACAGCTGAGTTTAGGAACTTGAGGTGAAAATATTAATAAATAATGAATATCCCACTTTTTCGTAAATATATTTAACTATCGAATTTCTTTTTAATTTTCCATTATAAGAAGCTTCTCATATCCTATTAATGGGTTTCTTAACTGAAGCGGTCCGTAACCTCGAAGAGGACTTTTTCTTCTCGTGCCACGGCTCGGAAAGTTTCCTCATCAGCTAATGCTCGTTGGTCGCACTTTTATCTTCTTTTCTCGAGAGAAAGAAAGAGCCGAGCACAACTTTTGGCCTCCCAGGATTGTCTTCGTTGCGAGAAAACAATTCCTTAAACGGTTGTTAGCTAATCTTATTTATCTAATGAATGCCTTCTCAGGACCTGCCTGGGGGGAGGGGCTACTTAAAGGAAAACCAATCAGTGGCTTGTGATCAACAAATATTTATTCGAAGCGAAAAGGAACAAACAGATTCAAAAGTTCTATTTATTATATTTATAGAGGATCTTTAAAATAATATGCGAGAATTTGATTTAGAGTTATCAATTCTAGTTTATTAATTATATGCTACATTCCTGCGGGAGGTTAAAAAATATTTCATGTTCAGAATAGAAAATTTCTACTCGCATTTTGCGTTTTGGAGATCAAGGATCAAATTTGGTCCGGTGTCTGTCTGTAGTCAAATGGAGGTGACGGTTTTCATGAAATTTCATTCAGTACTTTAGGTTGCACACGCGAAAATATATTTTCTTAGATATGCTAATATTTCAGAAACGTTATATTTTATTTTTGATGAATATTATGATCATAATTAATAAATTATAACAAACAAATTATGTTATTCTTCTAAATTTCTGATTATATGTGGTGGTAGGTGGTTATATTATAGAACATACATGATATCCTAATAAAAAAATTCATGATTCCTGATAATTCAAACTGGAATATAACCTGAATATTTGAAAGTTAATCTATGTCAAAAGTACGCTTAATATATTTACAATAATGTGATATGCTTTGTTTAATCTCAATATGCAGAGAAGATATATATTATTAAGAGTCCAGAAAATAATATAACTTAAAATAGTACATATAACCCATGATTCCTGATACAACGTAAAGCCTTCCTTCTCTTCGTTATCCAAACATAAATATAAACTAACGGAGTTCATTTCGCTAACTAAATGAATCTCTTTACAGATGTTTATATAACAGAATAATAAACACATTGATTCAAATATAACGGATACTTTCCTATAACAGGTACCTTTCCCTATTTAAAAAGTAACTTGGCTAATGTGCAAGATATTTTGTAAGGCTTTGGAAACATATATAAGAAATATTCAGAAATGTTTACGTATTATTATTAATTAGAAAATTCAAAGTACCTGAACACACTAGTTGATCCAGGATTTAATTTTTTTTGGGGGGGAGGGGAGAGGCTTCAGCCCGAAAGCATTCATTTTTCACATATATAAGAATAATTAATTTGAAAAAATAAAGAAAGAAATTAACTACCTGTATGAAATGGTATTAAAGTGATTCTTGAAGTCCTATTTAATGTAATTACACGAACAATAATGCTTTAAGGGATAGTTAATAATAATTTTTCTATAAAGCGTGGGTATTATTTAGAATTATAACAATGTGTCACGTCGACAATAGATTATAGTGATATAAGAACACATTCACACCATATATACAGAAAATATAAAATTAACAAAAGTAAAATAATAATAAAAAACTATGTACAATAAAAAAATAAAATAACCTAAAGATAAGTAAATTAAAAAGATAACAACACAGTCATACCTATATACAATTAGGAAGGGAACCCCAAGTCAGGCTTCTCCCTCCAACTATACAAGGAAACGCAGGACTCCAAGAGATCCCTGAGCTACTCTCTCAATCGCGTCACTCGTACTAAAGCCAGTGGAGTTCGAGCGAGAGCGCTTCAGCCACATACAATCATGCCTTGAGTGGAGAATTTGGCCATTGCCAGAACTCCAATAAATGCTTATTTACAAAAGGTCTCTGGGCCACTGCCGCTTCAACCTTCGAGGAGGAAGGATGAGTGGAACAAGATACGAATTGTATTAGGGGATGTGGATGATTTATATTAATAATAATAATAATAATAAAAAGGCTTAGCGAACCCGAAGGTTCGATGCCGACACCACCAATCGCTTATTACACACCTCCCTCCACCGTTCGCCGTCCAAACCCAGTCCCTTCAGATCGGCTTTAATGCAACCTTCCCACCTTCGCTTCGGTCTACCCCTCGGACGCTTACCATTCGGCACAGCAAATATTAACCTTTTAGGAATTCTCTCGTTACTAAGTCCAACAACTTTACAAGCCCATTTGATTCGCCGCGTTGAAATTATCTCAATTATATTACTCGGATACAGTTCACGCAATTCGGCGTTTTGTGACCGCCTGAACTCTCCGGTTAGCTCATCCTTCTTCGGTCCGAATATTCTACGCAATACTTTATTTGGATGATTTATAAGAATTTGGAAAAAATTGTAGAGAAAATGTCTAAGACAAATGGGATATTAAGTTCATGATGTAGGGTGTAATAATTAATTAGAAAAAAAAAAGAATCAAACTAACTATCTATATGAAATGGTTTTTAAGTGATTCTTGAAGTGCTATTTAATGTAATTACACGATACTTTAAATAGCATAGTCACAATACTTTAAATACTTTTAAATACTTTAAAGGATAGTCGATAATATTTTTTTCTATAAAACGTGGTTATATTTTACCATAGTAGTATTATAAAAACATATGATTAATACTTTTTCTTACTATTCCGGCTAGTCATTAGTGTTGCCCAAATGCGATACTGAGACAGTCTTGGTCTAGCAAACTCAGTCTTGGTCTAGCAAACTCAGTCTTGGTCTTGCGCAAGAGTCTCGTAGCAGTCTTGCAGTTATTCATTAGCTTATTACTATAGAGATATTACTGTATTTTTTTATATAAGAGAAACCTAACTAAGCTCGAATGAAAAATTAGAGTTAAATGCAAAAGGATATTGTTTATACCAATTATTAACATATAGTAACTAAGATTGTCAAGTATTAGTAACTATTTTGGCTTAATTTTTATTCGAAAATTAGATTTTTTTTACCAGTCCTGGTCTTGGTCTTACAACAGTTAGGCCCGGCCTTGGTCTTGCAAACTGCTAGGTTTTGGCAAAACTACTAGTCATATAAAATGATGGAGGGCAATATAGGCGTGAACGTTCCTAACTATCTGGAATCTTGTTAGGATCAGCATAGGCACGAAACAGGAAACTTTTTAACTAAAAAAAATAAAATAAAAAAATAGCGAAGCCTCTTAGCTCTCTCGAGAGCGGCGTGTAAGGCGAGGAAATGGTGGGTCATTTGACGGATGTCTCAATTATGCTCTGGCTACTTTCCTTCACAAGATATAGTTATTACGGAAGTCGTTTATTACCCGGCCGCCTGTAATGAGCGAGCGGCCCTGGAAGAAGCGGGCAGGTATAATGACGACTGGAGGGAGGGGGGCCGCCTCACGACGAGTGGAAATTATAGGACCTGGAGGGGGGCCGCCAAGGCTATCTGGGAGAGGATCTCTGGAGAGGGACATGGTAATCAGGGGTAATGTCTCAATTCGGCACCGTTAGCCATCGCCATCTTAGCTGTACCGGATCTGTGGCTGGAGGGGGGCGTCCCGATCGGGATATGCCACGGGGTATCGGCGAGGAGAGGATTCACGGGAGATGGGAGGTTCGATATCTAAACATTAATATTTTTATCAGTCTAAACAGTCCATGGTATAGACTAGGAATAGCATGTAGAAGACAAAATATCGATCTTAACATAGGTCTATCGATACCATAAAAATATCAGACCTAAAACAGCAATAGTCGATATTTTTTTTCAAGCTGTTATCAGAAAATTTTCAAACAATTTTAACATTTTGTCAACTTAATGATTCAACTTAATGACGCCACTATACATCCCTTCTCTCCACCCTCTCCTTGACTAACACGCTCATTGCTTCGATTTACCTCATTGCAGTCAGGTGTGTTTTTCTTTTTCTTTCTTATTATCTTTTTATTTTAACCTTCTCAGTTACTTTCCTCCTTCCTTTCATCCCTTTTCTCTGTTTTAACTCTTTATTATATTATACGTTGTCTGTACATCTTTATAGACTTTACAACATCTCAATTTTCTATCTAACTATTCTATTCGCAATATCTTAATTTTACTATTTATTTCCATTTGTTATATAACTTCATATTTTTCTGTTTTACATTTTATTCTATGATTCCCATTACAATACTTTTGTTACCTTTTTGATTATGTTTACTTCATCATTCCACACTTTGTACCGGTTATTATTATTTATCTCTTAGTAATTACTATTGTCATTATTCTAACAACTGCATTTTACTTTAATTTTTATGTTTCTCATACCTTCTTATCTGGTTCATTTATTAGCCCTGATGAAGGCCTTAACTTCAGGTCGAAACGTCGGTCAATGTCAAAATAAATATTATCATTTATTTTTGCCTTCTTATTTGACTGATCACCCCAACTTTTCTTCATTATTCACGACAGTCAACCATTTATCCACAATTAATGATTACACATCTAATTACGAGATTTCGGCTCGTTGAGCCATTATCAAGTCTAAAAATTTTTTACAATTTACAATCACATTTAAAACATTACATATTTCAACATATAGAGATTCTTTTTATATACCATCATGTACCTGTCCTTTTCACTTATGCGAATTGCACGCGTCTACTCTTAAGTCGATATTTTATTTGATACAATAAATATTTTTGAAATATCAATATTAATTTTTTAGCACACAGGCGCATCAAAAAATTTGTTACTTTTAGTCTAGACAAAATGTGACTAACCCCGAAAGAAAAATTAAAATAGTTAAATGCAAAAATATATTGGTAATACCAATTCTTTACATATAGTAACTAAAATATAAGTAACTATTAATTTAATTTTAATTTAAAAATCTATATTTATTTTACCAGTCTTAGTCTAGGCCTTGCAACAGTTATGCAGTCTTGGTCTAGGTCTTGCAAAGTGCAAGATCAAGACCGATTTTGGACAATACTAGTTATTTTCCTCTTTAAATTAATTAATGTAAATATTGATTTTTCTACTCTTCTTAGTAAAATGTATTTTCTAGTTCCTGTCCATAATTCGTCATCCTCAGAAATTTCCTGTTTTGAAATATCTACGTTTCAATCTGGAGATCGGTAAACTTTGTCTATTTGATGAGTCAAAAAAAAAAAAGTGACCTATAGAAATATTGGGCCGTTCATCTTGACCTCAGAACATGAGAAATAAAGATTTTATACACCAAACGTCCCAATGTGTTTGTAGCCAATAATTCATCATTATAAAAATAAAATAAAATAAATAATAAATCTGAAAGTAGAATCTAGTATCTCGTAAAAAATTAAAATCTAGATATTTCTATTAAACATATGAATTTATTATTTATTTTTTTTTAAACAGCAAAAGTTCCAATTTTTTTTTATTTTATACAAACATAATCAATAATAATATTTGAATGTGTGAAAATTTCTTTTTTCTGCTTTTTATTTATTTTTTTATTTTGCTATGAAAAATTATTCGGGCCTATCAACTTTTGTTAACAATCAGCAAATGTACTGGAAATACAAGATATAAATGAAATGTCAGGCATGGGGAAGGAAATTACTCAGCAACACCTTTTCCCTGACTTGTTATAATTACTTAGGTTATTTAAGTAAGGAGATCTCTCATCCAACGCCTTTTTAGTCTCCTCTTCATATTCAGAGGTATTATAATTTTTTCATTATAATTTTTTAACTTTTTTTCTTGTTACACATTACAGCTTGTTATTATACTTACTATGGATTCCAAATTTAACATTATTTTTTACTTACCTTTAGTACTTTGCTAAGTATTTAATTTCATTACCTCATTACACACTTGGTATAAGACTTTTCGAATCTGACAAACCTATAAATACATTTATTTTTATGCCTGACATATTAATAAATAGCCAACACATGTAAATAAATATGACTGTATCTTCATTATAAGCTTCCACAGGCCACAGACAGATGTAAACGGCATATGACAAATGACTTTCGACACGTGTGACAACATGACTTCCGACACGCTTTACGACCGAAGCGGCGTTAATAGACCACCATTAGATCTAATCGAATGATTAATGTATTTTTCAAACAAAGGAAGTATTTCTTAAAGCTAAATCATACTGACTTAATTAGCATACATTATTTTTTTTAATTTCTTTAAATTTAATGTATAATTCTCTGAGACTCTTTTTGGTTTCATTCATTATTACTTCTCTAATTTTTACTTATTTATTATTAATTTTTATACGTAAGAAATATATATACAAGTCATTTGTCATGATTATATATATATATATATATATATATATATATATATATATATGAACATTAAATTACAAACACTGTAATTTTTCTATACTAGTTATATCTTGGAATCATTCCAATCTTGCTTATCTTATATGGAGGTTTTTTTCTATAAAATTTATTTTTGGATAGATTTCAGAGTTTCAGTATTTTTCCCAAGAAGATTCAGAACTTTGAAGTAAAATTTCAACTCAATTTAATATTCACAGCTTTTAAATATCATATATTTTCTGGCTCTGTTATTCTAAAAAAAAATAAACAAAAATGTTTTTGAACAAAGTTGAAACTACCTATCAGACATATTTTATACTTCATAATATAAGTATATTAAAAAAAAATATTTGTTTTTCGAATTCTACGTATCCTGAAACGTAAAACCTCAACGTTTGAGAGGGGGTTGAGTTTTTGATTTTTTTGGTCGATCACAATGGTTCATTATTGAAAATAAGAAACCAAAAATATTTTAAAATCGCGATATTTCTACTAATAGTTCTTTGATTTCGATGAAACTTCCTTCATTTTTTAGGAAATTCGAATACCTTAGAAACAAATTATCACAATATTAACCAAAAAGTGTATACTTTTTGAGTTATTCTGAATGTAATTTTACCATCCCTCGTAACTTTTATTCCAGCTTTTTTACGTTGAAGTTTGTTATATAGATAAATTTAAAGGGCATCGAAAAGAAGACTTTAGCAGCCAAGTTTCATTGAAATCGGTAAATTCGTTTAGGCGCTGTATAAAGTCTATAGCAAATTTTCGGCCGCTATTTTGAAAGTAAGAGGCGAATAATAATGTCGATGAAGAAGGATCATCCTTGGGTGACCTCTGATTTTAAATCAAAATTTGAAAAAAATCGATCCAGTAGTTTCGGAGAAAATGCGCGGACGGCGGACGGACAAAATTTTTTTATTCGTTTTTCGAACTCTACGTATCCTGAAACGTAAAATCTCAAATTTCGAGAGGTGTTAAGTTTTTGAATTTTTTCGGTCGATCACAATGGTTCTTTATTGAAAATAATAAACCAAAAATTGTTTATTTATCACAAAAAATATAAAAATTAATACCTTCTCTACTTTATTATACCAAAGGCGGATAGAGAGATAAATATTGGCATGGGAATAATCGAGGTAACCACAAAACTTTGGAGAAATATTAAGTTATCGATGGGTGAAATCGATATAAATATGAAATCGATTGTTGTAGTACGTTAATTTTTCTTATTTATTATTATTTATTTACAGTTTATAGCATTTTAAACAGTAGTCTTTTTATTCGTCTATATGGTTATTTTGGATTAGGATATTTATCACTTTTCTCTGACCGTATATCCGGTCAGATATAAAATAATGTTTTCTATTTAAATTCAAAATGCGAGAATGACGATTCGCCATTTCTCTATTTTGGTGCATAAAATAATTGTACTTTAAAAAAATCCTTATATTTTAATCATCGGACAATGAAACAGTTTCAAAACTTAAATACGGTATGCGGGTGCATTAAGTTTTTTTTTTTTTAGTGGCAAAGAAAGTGTCATGAAAAAAAATTGAACACGAAAACTATCTTTTCCCCAATGACCATTCTACGAGTAATTTGAGTAATCAGTGACAACTGCCAGGAAAATAAATAAAAAATTGAAAATGCCTTTTCACGGAGATGACTTTGAAAACAAGAGAGTTCCATTACCCTTCCAGACAGACTGGAGATAAATGACAGTCATTTCGACCTGACAGAACAGCGGGTATCTTCTTCCTTCCAGGTAGTCGACGGATGCCAAAAGAAGATGCCTACTTTCAGTTTAAAGGAGAGCTCTCAGTCTCTTCAAGGAATGAAAATTACAGCAGCTAATCTCGTATATATATATATATATATATATATATATATATATATATATATATATATATATATATATATATATATATATATATTTGTAATATACAAATATTTATAATTAATTTAAATCTGCAGCTGATTTTATTTTATTAAATTTTATTATTTTGGGAGCCCGAGCCAGATATCTATCCTTTTATGATAAACTCCAGTCCCATCCGAATCCACCTGTTTCCAGCCTTGCTTCTTCCTTGATTCCTGATAATCCCCCTAGGCGTCTGAAAAGAAGATGGCCTCGTGATCTTCTCAACTAGAATTAAATAGGAACTGCTACTACTGGGCAGTATCTCTTCAAGTCTGTTCATGTCATGATTTCTAATGTGAGCATTTTTACTAGTTTTATTGTTCATACAGTTGTAAATTTCATTAAATAAATAAATTTAAAAAAAAATTATTTTGTGAGGGGTCTTTCTTCCCCTTTATAACGATAAAATCATATATATACATCATATATCAGCGAGAAAAAGAAAGAAACTACATAAAATGATGGAACAAAATTATTAGGTATTTCATTCAAGATAATTATATTCAGTTAGCCGACGTTTCAACTCAAATTTGTGCGTCGACTTCAGGGCTATTGTTTGGTAGTCGAGACAAGAACTGTTTTGAGAAGATCGGAATATTTAAAATTTTATAGATGGGTAAGAAATCGACTGATCAACTATGAGGATGATACAAAATTGTAAGGCATTTCAGTCATGATATTTTTATTTTGTTAGTCAACTTTTCGACCCAAGCATTTTTATTTACACTAAAATATATATAAAAAGATGTTGAAATGGTCGTTGAAGGCCGGTTAAAAAAAAAAATAATAATGTAATAACAGGAACAATAATGTATTTAGAAATAATATTTTAAATATTATTTTGTCAGCTCATCGTCACATGTAGTAGCTGTAAATGCGTTATAATTTAAAAAGATATAAATATTGTAATATTCGGTGCTTCATCATGAAAGTTCCATCCCCTCCTTAGTTCTGCCAACGAGTTATGTATACTAACAGATCAATGAAATAACGGAACTAAATAGAGATGGGGTTTAACGTATCAATTTGTCACTGTTACTCTAAATTGTGATAAAATTGAATTACCAGTCTCGAACTGGGGCAAATCCATAGATTGGCTGTAAATGGAGAAAAATTAAAATCAAACATTTTTAACACCAGTTTTTAAACCGCAGTATAATACAAATACGCATTTGAGCGATTATATGGTTTAAACATACGACGATTAAAAAAATAAATATGATTAGTTACAGGGATGGCGATGATTTCTGTGATACGGAACTAGAAAGGAATACGTTTGAACCTATAAACAAATTTAGCTATTTAAGATCTAAGATAATAACTAAAAAAAACAAAAGAAAATTTTAAAAAATGTTGATTATTATTTTTAAAAATCCTCCCGCTTTCTGTGTTTAACGAATGAAGAACAACGCCTTTTAGTTTTCGAAAATAAAGCATCGCGTACGAGATAAATGCGACGACTAAATACGAAAATTTAACCATTCTGATGACTGAAATTATGGTGCTTAGTAGCAATCTATCTTTAAGAGGTTATTAAGTACTGACTGTTAAAACTGATAGAGTAGACCGTGGAGTAAGTGGGAGGATTGCGATGAGGCAGATCTGAAGGGTGTTGGGTTTAGATTGCGGTAGATGGAAGAATGCAGACAGTTATTAGTGGTGTCGGCGTCGAACCTCCGGTTTTTCCCAAGCCTTTTTCCATTATATCATTGACTAATAAAGTGTTAATAAATAAATCGAATATTTTTTTTGACGAAAAATGTTACAAATAGTATCAGGAACAGTTCCCAGTTAGGAACAACTTGTCAATGCTGCCTCTTGACGGCTGTAAAATAATGCCATATATAGAACTCCAAATACAGAGAAAATGTATAACTTTTTTTTTTCAAAAGATTATATTTTAGGTTTACAGTTTAGTTTATACAGGGATACAATTTACATACCAAAACCCTTTTCAAAAATTTTATCATATGCTGTCTAATTCAGACAAAACTTATTTTTAAATATAAAACAGCTCAGAGTAAAGATGATATCAGAACCATTTAGAGGTTGAATATTTCACTTTTAACTATACTCATTGAATATTTAAATAAATACATAACAACGTTATTTAAATTTCATAAAGTAGAAAGCTGCTTTACATAATGAACAGGGAAACTGATCTGTATTTGAATAAAAAATTTCTTGTATAAATAAATATCGTGTCGTTATATATAACTTGTATTAATATTTTATAATTTATGAGAGCTTTCATAGGAAAACTAGTTTTAATAAATTATTTATTTCATTAGAATTTAAATTACAATTCTAATTACATAACTCAAAATTAAGAAACGATGTTTAGTAATATATTTCATTTGTTCAAGGTAAACACAATTTTTTTTTTAAACCTAAAATTTATATTAGTTCATAGCTCATTTACTCAATATTTGAGTTAAATATTTCATTCCGATAAGTATGAATCCACGTGGACAATCATCTAACTTGGAATCCTCAGACCAGACTGAAACGACAAGAAACCGCACACTTTAGACTACTTCAGTATTTACTAGACAAAAACTCTAAGCTTCCAATAACAAGGCCTATTTGGATATGCAATGTTGAACTTGGGGGCTCCGCCAATCATCTAATTCCTCTCGTACAATCCTTACAATCCAGAATCCTTAATAAAATCTCTAATGTTCCTTCCTTTGTTAAAATAACATCATCCATAACGACCTTCATATCCCTTATGTTTCCGATTTGGCCCAATCTAGAAACCTATCCTTCCATAACAAACTTCAAAACTATTCGAATCCTCTCGTTTCAAACCTTGCTTCATCTTCGATTCCTGATAACCCTCCGAGGCGTATGAAAAAAAGATGGCCCCGTGACCTCCTTATGTAGACATATTATTATAGTACTATCAGTGGATAGTTTCTTATTTACTAGATATTCTTTGATACAGTTGTAAATATCATAAATAATAAAAAAATTAAATTTGAATTTTTCAAATTTTTTTTTGTTACGTCACTTTTATTGGTTAAAACAATTTGTCAACTTTTTAAATGTTTAATAATGAATATTTATAAATTTAATCTAGGAAAACTAGAGAGACAAGAGCGAAAAATTATTTTCTGATTTTTAAAACTTAAGTAATTTTTTTTTATTTGTACAGGTTAAAACATTATTTTGAAACTGACAACAAACGAAGATCCACATTCTTCGAAATCGTCATATTTAATTTTAGAAAATTAAATAAGACTTTTTATTGAATAAGATTCATTATTCGACTGCAATAACTAATATAATTCAATTATATATTAGGTAATAATTTCACGACAGATAGTCAAACACTTATTACTAGAGTACCGTCAATTTGGAAAGATCAAACAAAAATTAAAATTATCAAGGACATTGAATGAAATATTACAATATGAGAAAGTTGTCACTTCCGCAATAAAAAAAAACGCTTCAAATTATTTCACAATGGTTTATTATTTCCAGACAATTATACATCTAAAGTAACATTACCTAAATAGTTACAAAGAAAAATAAATAAAAGCTGATTCCAATTATTGGAATAAACTTTTTTTTTTTAATTATTGGTAATATGCTAAAAAAATGGCATTACATCAGTAACAAATTCAAAATTTAAAAACCAAACAAAGGATATAACATTTGGAGTAGAACATATTTAAAAAAAAACGGAGACCATATCTCCTAATTGTCCGATTTTAACAAGTTTTTTTTTTGTTTTTTAGGAAATTTCGTACACTTTTAAAAAACCATATACATTATATGAGGTATTCGGAATTTAATTTTACCATCCCTCGTAACTTTTTTTCCAGCTTCTTTTCGTTGAAGTATGTTATATAGATAAATTTAAAGGGCGTCAAGAAAATGACTTTAGCGAAGTTTCATTGAAGTCTGTACATTCGTTTAGGCGCTACAGTCTATAGCAACGCAGGTTTTTCGGCCGCCATTTTGAAATTAAAATGCGGATAGTAATGTCGATGAAGGAGGATCATCCTCGAGTGACCTCTGATTTTATATCCAAATTCGAAAAAAAATCGGTCTAGTAGTTTCGGAGAAAATGCGCCGACGGCGGACGGCGGATGGACAAACAAATTTTTATTCGTTTTCGAATTCTACGCATCCTGAAACGTGAAACCTCAAATTTTGCGAGGGGGTTAAGTTTTTGAATTTTTTGGTCGATCACAATGGTTCATTATTGAAAATAATAAACCAAAATCTAGTTATATATTTAAGATATTTCACAAAACGTGATAGATTATAGACAAGAGTTAATTCAGTTCAAACTGAGCCAAATGGTTATAATTTATTATAAAGAAAACAGATTACGCTGCCTTGGGAAAAGACTAAAACGCGAGTTAAGCCTGGACGTCCCGGTAGGTACGTGGGCGTTCAAGAACAGCTGGGACACAGCGGCCTTTATTCAACAACATCTCTCGAGGAGCCAGTCAACTTGGAAACCGTCTGGAGTCCAAACCTGTTTGAAATATGTCAGCGAGGTCCTCAGCTACCACAAGGGAATATCCCGAGATCTGCCTCCTTTATTCCCACAGGAAGCGGATGCGGCCTTCGCAGCTGGTCAGGGCAAAAGGAGAAAACGCTGGCGGATCATCAGTTTCGCAATCGCGATAGGGCGTTGTTGAACAGTTGAATTTCGGGGCTTTTCGCAACGGGTTTCGAAACTTTCGGCTAATTTCAGTCCTAGTCTAACCTCGTTCTAAGCAAGATAACAGGTTTATTTTTTTAATCATAGGAAAGAAAAAATGAGTTTAATAATCTACTTAAATGAAGCAGAATAAAACACAAAAACTAATGTATGTGCATTTTTAAAGAGTACGTTTTTCACTTCAATACATTCTTTGAAATACATTCTTAACAAACAACGATCAAATAAATCTGACTTTTTTTGCTGTAAAAAGTTTTCCCTTTGTGGCCCACAATTAGCAATTACGACGTTTTTCACATATTCAAACCAATTCATAGAAGATATACTGTAACAGCATTATTTTTCCTGTAATTACATTTTTAACATGACTTTACCACCTAACACCATTTTAAATAGATAGTTATTTTCTTTATTTTTCTTACGAAATAAGTAGCTAAGTAGAGTAGCTCAATATATGTGCTGGTGGACGGTGCTGAGACTGTCTGTGTGTCCCTGGCCTCAGGTATCAAAGCTCTATTTAAAAATTGATCGAAACGTCAAATGAATACGGAAGTAATGAACATTTATTAGTTTATAGAACAATTAATAAGTGACCTTATTCCCAATTAAAAAATTATGTTTAAATTTAATACTCAAAGGTCGATTAAAGAAAAGTTGTAAAAATATATATATTTCGGGCTGAAGCCCCCCAAACTTAATCCTGGATTCGCTACTGGATCCAATGACTTTTGAAACCATCTGAATTTTGAAATCTCCCAATTTTTTTTAGTTTTATTGTACGGTAAGCGTACCATAGATAAAGAATTTTTTGAAATTTTTGGCTTATACCGCCGTAATTATTATAGTTATAATTTTCTCCATTCGACAGAATTTCCAGGGTTTCATTTTTCTATTTAACAGTTTAAAATTGAAAAAAATATTCTGTTATGCAGGTATTACCTCCATTAAAAAAGACACCTTTTTGCACTAGTGTTGGTAATTCAATCGTTCTAGTAAGTAATAGGGGGTCGATACCAATTATAGACATACCTCAGAAAAATTGTAAAATCTTTATTTCACTATTAAAACAAGATAACATAAATGTTCAACTTAATCTTAACAAAATTGTCAGTAGAAAGGTAGGAAACACATACGATAGACATTTTAAATTTTTTGGGGGGAGCTTTGTTCATACAGTTGTCAATAGAGGGAATTGTTCTTCAATCTTCAAATAACTGGAACATTTATATCAACAAAGAAGCTTATTATTATAAAAAGTGTAACCAGTCTACAACTGGTGTTTTCACCCAAGTTGAAGTTAGCCTTTTAAGTTTTGAAATTCGTATTTGTTATTTTCCTTGAGATCCATTGTTTCTGAGAATCGGTAAAGGGTTTTATCATACCGTATATATATATAATGTACATTAACGTTAAGTATGAAAATTCAGTTAACTATATGTTTTTTGGTTTTTCGAGCTGGAAAAAAAGTACTTTAAGTCTAATTTATAATAAATACACATTTTATTCTGAAATTCGTGAATCGTACTATCAGAAGCGTGAATATAAATTTAAAAAATATTTTAAAAACTGAATACATATAGATTTCTCAACGTCTAGTTGAGAGATGGCTTAATTTAGGATTTTGAAGCAATATTTTTAAAACGAATTTATTGGAAATCTACGCCCGAACGAATTATCATAAAACCAGTTACTATCTCCCAGAAGGCCGTAATGTTCCAGACAGACATCGGATACAAGGAGATCCGACAGGGCCTAAGATGCATCGACATACGGACAGACGGCATGCATAAGTGAGTACATATCCTGAGCTTACCGCCGCGTACTTTCACTCCTCAGGAATTATTTCCTGGCTGCAGATCGGATCCTGGAGCTACGTCGTAAATACACCCACGACACCGGCCCTCCTATTGCTATTCTGCCACGGCTGATATACAGCCACAGCTGCTTGCCACCTCCAATCGGATATATTTCATTTATTTATAATAAAATAAATAAATAAAGTTGAAAAGAAAAAAGGATATGTATTACTATTAACCATTCTTGAAACATCAGTCATAATTTAACTTCCTCGATCGTTCCACAGGACACATGAGCCAGTGCATCTAAATTATTGTATAACATCCAAATTTTTTGTAAAAAATAAGTGGACTAATAAAAAAAATGACCTGGAAAAGAGCGCCATCGATATGATAGATTTTTTTCCAAAATTGTTTTTTTTAAACTAAAGTCTTTTTTTTTTCTAAGTATATAGTGATATCACAACAAATAAAGTCGAATCTGATATCCATAAAGGTATGTCTAACTCTTTTCTTACAGTTACAGTGTATTATAATTGTACATAATTCCTGATGGAAGAATAACAAATCTTTAAAATAATAAGTGATTGCTTTATGAGGAATAAATGTAGAAAAACTCCTCAAACGTTTTCATTTCAAATCTTCAGCTGTATTTATTTAAAAGGATCAGTTTTGGGTTTTATAATATCTCCGAATCTAGGATAATAATATAAAGTTAAAGTAATTTTTCGGTGCTTGAAAATTCTATTACAAGTTTTCTCAAGGTGTGAAATAAAAATCAACATTGTTCCCGTTAAAAAATATTTGATCTCACTTAGCACCTTCAGTCATTTCAAACTGTTATAACATTGCAATCATAGTATAGGTATACGTAAAATATAATTTATACTTTCACTTAATTATATACAAAATAAATATAAATAGTAAGAGAAAGGATTACGATCGCGAAAAATCCGAGCTTTCGACGGTAATTCAAGTTTTGATGTCTTCTGAGTTCAAATAATTTAGTCTAGTAAAATAGTCTGTGTAAGAACAGTGTAGCTCAAAAACAAGATGTATGAAACTGAAATTTTGTATTTAAGGTTCGTATATACCTCTTATGTCACAGAAACATTTTTGTCGGCTTATCAGAAGTTGGTCTTTTTTTCATAGATTTAACATGTTTTTCTTTACAGACAGGGCGATTATCTTGAGTAAGTTAAGATGCACAAGGCTTAGCAAGTCGTCCCCATATGGACCGAAAACAGGAATAATGAATGTATTGGAGATGTTAGACCTGATAAACAAATACGGATCTCACAAAACATTTTTTTAGGGGGAAACAAAATCTATATTACTTTTTCGAACTTTGAAAAAACCTTAAATAAGAATTTTCAGAGTAATAGCCAGATCAATTTTGCCTTCATTGCAATGTTAGAAACCCCCAAAATAATATTATAGATAAATAATTTTTTTTAACTTCTTTTTATTTATTTATTCAGAAATAAAACAATCTATCACACGGACAATAATTATATTGAGGTAAGATCACATTCATACTATGTGTACAGAAAATATAAAATGTACAAAAGTATAATAAGAGCTAAATAGTAATAAAGAAATAAATACAGTAAAAAATAAAATAATTTGAAATAAATAAATTAAAAACATTAGAAACAGACATACCTATATAAAATATTTACAATTAGGCCGAGAACCCCAAGGCTTGTCCCACCAACTATGGAGGGAAAACCACGACTCCATGAGATCGCTGGCTACTCTTTCAACCGTGTCAATGGTGCTCAAGCCAGTGGAGATTGAGCGAGAGCGCTTTAACAAAAGGTTGCAGGCTCATTGCCGTTTTAATCTTCTTGGAGGATTATAAGGATGGGTGTTGCTAGATAGGGATTGTGCAAGGGGATTTGGATGATACGTAAGTTTCTGGGAAAATTTTGAGAATTTTTCTGGAATAATGTTATAGAGATGTTCAGGTCATTATAAAAAAAAAAAAAAAAATTAAATTCGTTGAGCCAAACGAAATTGTTTTTCCTTTACACGTATCGTTGTTTATCCCATTAGCTACTCAGTTATCTCCCTCTACTATACTAAGCAGGAATACACAACTAATACCACAGATTCGGGTGTCATAACAGATAACAGGTAATGCGATCTAGGCCTCGATCAATTAAGGTCAGATCTTGCCTTACCTCAACCCGAGCTCAAGATATTGTCTTACTTTGATGACTCAAGACTTTGGCCCGCAAGTTGTCAAAATATCAGCCTAATCTTGCACGAACGAAGACAGGTTTCTGTGAAGCAATTACCTAAGCAGAATCACATTGCTTGTTTTATTAAATGTTAGATAAAACGTTCATAATAATGCTTTCGACCAGTTTTTACATGTGTACACTAACATAATAGTTCCTTCAAATCAAAGACTGACATCTGTTATTTTCAGAAAGTGGGCAAAAAGTAAATTTTTGTGTCAACTCAAACTTTTTCTGATGCTTTCATTTATGAATGTTGAATCGTGAAACAGATCATTATAATTGGTTTAAATTGAAGCAACAATGTTGGTTTTTTCTTAACTTTTTTAAAATGACAAATATTTGTATTTAATATTTTTAAAAAAAGTTTTACAAAAATGAAAAATTCTAATATGTAACAATGAGCACCGTTTCGATCCTCAACTACCTGGCATAATATAGCTAATTTTAATATTATTCCATTGATTTGATAATATTTAGCGAGAAAAAAGAGTGCACTACAAAAATATTGGGCCGTTTGGCCTACATACAATCTCGTTATTTTGACATTTTGAGAGTGTATGTCACGCTCAATTTTTTATTTTTTTTTGTTTTATTTATTTAGAATTATAACAATCTGTCACGTGGACAATAGACACGTGATACATGAACAAATTCATACCATATATACAGAAAATAAAAAATTAACAAAAGTAAAATAATAATCAAAAATTATGTACAATAAAAAAATAAAATAACCTAAAGACAAGTAAATTAAAAAACATAAAATATGCAATATATACAATTAGACAGGAAACCCCAAGCCAGGCTATAGAAGGAAAAGCCCTAAGTCAATATCTACTAAAAATCTCTCAATCACAAACGAACGGGTTATTTAAATGTCATCCAAGATAAGTATTCAAATTATCATTGTATAATAAATATAAACAGCCTGGGATAAATA